AGACAAGGAGTCAGAGCTGTGCATGAGGGAGATACATTCCTTAATCTAAGATGATTTCGAAATAATTTCACAGCTTTAAATAGAATAATATACATATTTTCATGCTAGTTGCGAATTTCTGTCCACTGGGCTGGTGATAACCTTGGGGACTAATAGTCCACCAGCAGAGTATCGACACAGTGGTAGTACATTTTATGTAATAACAGAAATGGTACTAATTTTATTGCACCAGGTGCGCATTTCGACAATTAATGTCTCTTCAGTGATACTCGATGCCAAAATATTTGAATTACTTGAAATAGTTCAAGTTGAACATACCGCAGTTGTATGCAAAACCTTATTACAATCCGTGATATGACCCATTTACAGTAGCTTGACAACTCTTAGTTGATAAAAAAACAACATTTAAAATAGATACATTTGCAGTTAAAAGTCTACTTCACTTCGTGATTTATAAATTATTTTAGTGTTTTAGGAATTTAAGTTAATGTTTAGGATAGAACGCGCATTATACTCTATTATAAATATACGAAACTTCTCGTTACTTGATTTGAACAATTTCAAATTTATGTTGCTGCGACACGTACTTTATAACAAATCAAAACAATATGGTAGTAAATCTATGATAAAAATACAGTAAAAATGCTATGATATTGCTGCAATACTTGGTGCTATTCTTTCATTGATGATGTGTCCCTTTAACTATGTTTTAACTCATTTTTACATAATACATTGCAGCAATGTAACCAAAATTATGGACTATTGATTTTGAAGACAACAGTAGTATACCGCTGTTCGAAAGTCATAAATCGATTGAAAGAAAACAAATCCGGGTTACAAACTAAAACCGAGGGAAACACATCAACTATAAGAGGAAAACAACGAAACAATAGAAACACTGAAGTGAACAAAAACAAACGACAATGCAACACACACAGAAACGAACTATACGATAACAACTGACATTTTCCTGACTTGGAACAGGTCATTTTAAGAAAAAATGGTGGGTTGAACCTGGTTTTGTGGCTAGCCAAACCTCGCGCTTTTATGGCAATGTTAAATATAACACTAAAATGACAACATTACATGGCAAGAATACAGTACAAATAAATGCAAGAACATTCAGGACAGAGAAATATACAAATAAACAATACAATAGTACATTTCGACATGCTAACCACAGAATAAAAACGAACACGTAAAACAACATAGGACAGCACACAAAAACAGCACAACAGAACCACGAACTGTCTTTCACACGACTGGATCAACGCCACAAAAGTGACGTCACAGGTAAATTTCTAAAAATTTGATACAGTTCAAGATCAGTTTTGTAACTTTGTCATTTGATGTATTTTATAACAATTACAAGAATATTAAATATAGAATTGTGTTAGTAATTAGATAATTAATTGTATTATCTAACTATGTCGGTATTTCTTCTTAATCAAACTGTAAAACAAATAAATCGTGTACATATAGTTGCTTTAAACTAAAATCTTATAAATGAACTGGGTGATTGATTATCTTTACTTTTACATACGAATAGAAAATTAAAAAAATAGAATTACAACTACAAACGATAAGACATTAAACATATCCGATCAGAATTACAAATACAACATCATAACTATATACATGAATGTTGGATAAACAAATACCGTGACACGTCTTATAGCAATGCGAATTCACACTCAGTCATATTTGGGAATAGGTCATGTTCGGTACTTAAAAGACCAGACGACGTAAATGGTAAACCACAATCTAAGACGTGGTAAAAATGTCCTTAGTGAGTTTAAACACAGAAACATCGTATTGATCAACCAATTCGTGATGGTGTCCATAAAATTTACGAAGTGTCATTTTTAATCTTTCCTCCTCATAACTTTGTTGGGGCAGTTTCTGTGTAAGGAGCACACTCCTGTATATGAAGTCCGTATAGTGTGAAATATATTGTCGATCAAAAAGTCCAGCATTCTTCAGTATATTTTCTGGTAGATTCATTTTGGTTTTTCACAAAATAAGAATTATTATAACCCAAAACAAGAAATTTGTATCTACGATTCCCATTTTTATAGAAAAAGCACTGTTTATTGAGATGGTGAAGTCGATCTTTCAATTGAGCATGGGGAATAGTAGTGTAAAGCGTAGAAAAATTAAAAGTCTTAATGTTGCTGCAAAACTGCAGAGATTGTGATCTAAGATTAAGCAGTAGATCTTTAGATTGTTTTATGTCTTGACTTTCGCTCGTTCTTACCAAAATTTATCTTATGAACACGTTCTATTTGAAATTATATCCGTAACGTCCTTTTATATTGTGAAAGGTAAGTAAAACATTACAGATTTCCTTAAGAATTATTTTTGGTGACTCAAATCTTCATCAATCACGATCGCTACGTTACAAACACAAACACTTGCCTCTCTTTCATGAAAGGTATATAGCTATTTTTGCAGATATGGTTTTCTGCTTCACTATAGAATAGATATTTCATTTACTATATCTGACAAATAGTGCAAAGTACCCACTGCATTCTTTTCCCCCTGAGCAGCTGGTTGTTCTTTGTGTATTTCTTGTCTACAAAACGTATCAGGGAAAGTTCTCAAGTCCTTCAAGTCTTGAAATAATGAGATCAAATATGCTTTTATTTTTGACAGTTACCCTATATTACAATTTTTATACAAGTGTCGATGAATTATGCCGCTAAGATTCGATGGTTGAGCTAAAGTAAAAAGTGGCGCACTTTTAAGTCTGATGGTTTACGGTAGATCTGATGTTCAATGGCCTAAAGTTCGATTGCTATATAAGCTAAATATTTATGGGTCTGAAATAAGTTATTTGAATTTTATTTCAAAATAGAATATCTCATTGAAAGATTATTAAAGTATTGCGATTCCACAAATTGTTTCCTGCATATCAAATATACTCTTGTAATGGTTAATGCATCCATAGTGACAGTTACATAATTACTTACTAGTATTTGTATGTAAAGGGAATTTCAAATTAAATCCTTAATTTGTTATTATATTCATAAATCATCTAACTTCTATATATCTGTTAATTTTTTGTTGTAATTTTGGTTTTAATTTGTTGTTTTCTTCTTCTTCTGCAGAACATTGAACAACGGGACAACAGCTTTTTCATGTTGAGTTATACCCCGAAATACAACCTTGCAAACATACGAATGATGAAATCGAAATAAAGCCGAACTCTGCCTTCTCTGCCGGAACAAATGGAGCCAAATGTAGTAAATGATAATTCCTGTTTGAGTTTGTTGTCTGCAAGTATTGTTATCTCCTTTGAAATATGTATAGTTCATAAGTAGGTAATATTTTGACATTTTTAACTTTCAACATTATTTTTTCTTATATTTTTCTCCATTGCCCTTACTAGAGATCAAGTAGAACTATTTGGTAATGTAAGGTACAAAATGGGTTTTTTTTCATAATGTGGGCGCTGTTAAGGGAATATAAGGTTAAACAATCCCACATTTTAGATGATCTAAAAGCTGAAGCATGACACTTAAGCCAGATAAAACATCGCATATAAGCATACAAACCACTGCAGCAAACCATCGCACTTAAGCATGTTAGACCATTGTACTTAGGAAACAGCTACCAGAACATAACCATCGCAATTCAGCTGGTCACATCATCACACTATAGAGACAGTCATTGCACTTTACCATATCACAACATCATATTTTAGAGGCGACTAATGCACTAATGTGATTCAAACCATTACACTTTAGCGACAATCATCCTTCTTAAGAGTACCATCACAAACATTTGTTTAGTAGTGATTTTTTTCAAATTTTGCTAAAACATTACAATTTGTTTATAACAGTGTGCAATCTTTGTGCAATTACAGAGACGAAGGTTGAAAACTGCAGGAGGAGTTGATAACACAAAATAGGTAACAACTTTTTCCCAAACGCTTACACGGTTTCCATACTGTAAGTCGGTTATTTATTTCGTGAAACCCGGCCAAAAGAGAAAAAACGGTTTCTAATTTCATTTTACAATTAGAAATAAGTATACAGGAGTCAACTTTATTGGACACGAGTATTTTGGAATACCGAGTATTCTTAAAATTTCAAGCTTCTATACTAAAAAACAACATAAAGCGAAATTTTTCTGTAGATTACTGTTAAATTTATAAATATTTACTGCTAATCACCACGAATATTCGACTGATAATACCTGCAAAGTATTTTGAAAAGTGTACGATGTAGGATTTGGTTCTAATTAATTGAATCAGTGTTGATTGGTAAACTATATAAATGAACATGAATTTGATTTTTCTGCTGGTCTACTGTATTCTTAGAAGAACGAAATTATTAAATATTTAGGCATCAGAACCAAAATGGGCCTCAACAGAAGCGCCTAAACGGTCAATATCATCAGCTTTGCATAAAGAAATCGTCTGCATGCTCGTGACCTAAGTAAATCTATTTTTTTTAAACAATTACATGTGGTAGTATATAATCTATAAACTGCATATTTAAAAACAAAACATTAAATATCGAAGAACTGGCTACTGAGCGCATGGTACCCTCTGGGACTGGTGGCCAATAAACAGTTGTACAGACCCAGTGGTATTGATATAATAGAATGATACAGATTAAGAAACTCACGAAACATGTTATACTTTGTATAATCTATTTTTATCATATTGTAATATTATGTTTGAAAATTATGGTTGTAGTAATTTAGCTCATTCTGGGCGCCGTTATTGGCAGATAAAGTATTAATTTGTTTGTTTGTTTTGTTGTTTCGGGTATTTCATGGGGAATAATTGAAAAGAAAATTTCAATAACAGTATATAAATTTTATAGTTGTTTTAACTACCTCGGGTGTCTCGTTCTTGTTTTTTGCATTTGGGACCATTTTGGGACCTTTATTCTTACTTCATACTGTCAAATTATAGGTAATGCAACTATTCATTTTGTATCAGCCATTCATTACTGACGCTTCTGACCATAAGACATTTTTTGTATCTAAAAAAAAATGAACAAAAAAGGGATTTAGTTACAGACACTGACTTGTAGTCCGTCGCTACACTGAAGGTTTCTTTGAACATTTCATTCAGAAATATTCTCCTCAAACTATTGCCATTCCTCTGAAGGCAATATTAGAAAGTATATTAACTACCATTTACAATTGTCACTTATTATGTTTTATTTTACGAAGGGTATTAGACTTTTCAAGAAATCCAAATATCAGTACATAATACTACCAACCCTCACAAGAGTGCTTGTTGCATTTTATTTTATTTATGTTTTACTTATTTATTGAATTAATTTCTTCCTTTTACTTATTTTCACAATAACATGATTATATAACGATACTTCTTTAAGATTCTTATTAAAAATATTCATATACAAGTATTTTGTATTTTTGATGATTTTTTATGTAGTAGTTTCCTGTCAAAATGAAAGTTAAAGGCAAAATAAACAAAATAGACTCAAATAGTTTAAATAAAATTGAGAATGGAAATGGGGAATATGTCAAATAGACAACAACCCGACCAAAGAGCACACAACAGCAGAAGTCCACCAATGGGTCTTCAACACAGCGAGAAAATCTCGCACCCGGAAGTGGTCCTCAGCATTTGTTTTTTATTCACAGAGAAAAAAGTTTGGAAAGGTAACTAATTTCACTCTTTCAAATAAATATTGAAACCCTTTATATTAATTAAAATACATGTTGTACCTCATTTTTGTATTCTGTTGGTTCCCACATTATTATTCCACCTCTAAAATGCGTCATTTGTATATAGTCTAATTGAATAAAACAAAAAAGGCACACCAGAAATGCCTTCATTGTCACTTCCTTTTTTCACAACCAATTCTAGTTAATAATATTTATTTCCAAGTAGCCTTCCTTTATATCTAATATTCTTGTTATCTATTACAAATGTCATTGGACAACATTTTATCTCTCTCTCATAATATTTATCTTAAAACACAATGATATTGCGGGTAAATTCATATCAAATTTACATAGAATTGTTATTGACTTTCAACAAAAGCTTCAGGGTTTGGTATATGCACTATTTAAAAAAAGATGCAACCAGTGATATTAAAAGTCCATTTCTAGAACTATCACAGAGGCTGTACACCTCTCTTAGTGAGGAACTTCTGGTACTGTAGAATACGTTGAAATGACAATAAAAATTTTCAAAAAATAAGACGCTATACGGTCAGTTAGCAAAACTAATCAATTCCTCAAAAAGAAAAATGATTATTAGTTTTTATGAAAAAATAATTTCTGCATCAACATTTTACATTACTTATCAACAAGTTATTAATTTTCATCTATAATTCTCGCGAGCAAAGACAATCCCTATACTACAGCAATTAAGATGGACATTATTCAGAGATCTTTTGTTTCTTGGAAATCTATTCAAACAATTGTAATAGTACATGCACCAAGGGTTAGTTTCGAAAATCGCCAGTGTTTGTGTTTACGTGCCAGACATGCATAACAAAACGGTTTAATTAACCCGTTCATTTACGTTTTTTTTTATAGGCTATCAACTACTTGTCACGGTTATGAAATAAGGTAATAATAACTTTTAAGTATTAGTTTTACTGAGAAACCTTTAGAAATTCCGTGATTCAGATACAAACAAAAGAGGCATATATGTACGACATTTAACATTCATATGTTCAAAAATAGAAGTAAATCAATGATTAAAATATCAAAATTGTTTTTGCATAGCTGGTACCGTAACGGTAAACAAAATACCGTATTCTTTCACCGCATACGACTTATCGTTGGATTCCCACATTTCATGAGCAATAGATTAAGAGTTATTGTTGATGACACCAACAGCTATTAAACAACAAACCCTATGTTACTCGCAATAATCTATTTAGCATGTTTATTGATACAATGATTCTGAAAAATCATGTACAGCCAAAATCACTACTGTAAGTTTGCTTGATGCTACACTTTTGTTCGCCGTTAAAAAAAAACATTACTGATGATCCTAACCGCATTAAAAATATAGGCCTTTAATTTAGATGCAAAATTTTTAAAAATCTCATTAACAAGATAAAGTAGATAGCTAACTTGAGATTAATGATCCAATCGGACCAAACATTTGTCGCCATATGAGACTTCAAATAGAAACTTTGACAAAAATATCGATCTTTTAGCTGTGTTTCCTTTTTCAATGACAAATAGTTTTGTTGTCACTTATCTTTGTTTACACTGCAGTTTTAATATGAATTTAAAGAAGTGTCAATAAAACTTTTAAAAGAAGACAAACCATTTTTAAAATCATTCTTACAAAATCATGGAATAATAACGTTATGAAACCCGAAATAGAAACAGTCAAAAATATCATAAAATCGTTTGATGTCTTTGAATGTTTATCCTATGTATTAAAGAATAACCCGCCCGTTTTCCCATGAGCAATTTTTTGGAGGAGTCAGAATTTCCACGTTAAATATATTTTAAAAAATCGTAAAAGTATTAATTACATTTATCATTCTGGTTAATAATTTGAAATAACCTATATATTTACCATAACAGCTTTAAACCATTGACTTGAATTTTACATTCAATTGAAAAAAATATCGTCACGGACAAAGGCTGTTTGTTGCGCCGAAATATTCGTCTTTCTGCACGATATGATTTCATCTTATTCGTATGTATATTTTACCAGTATCATTGCAAAAATCTTACGAAATAAAAAAAAATCTGGCTTGCATAGCATCGTCATTTCCAGGCGATAGGATAGCTATTAAGTTTGTCTCTTTGCTGTTGTCTTAATAGTCTTATACTGCGCCTTGTTGTTTATTTTAAAACGCTTAGTTCAATTAACTTAAATATTATCAATCTACAGCAATTTTAGCAAAGAAGAGTTGAATAGTTTTAAAAAAAACATAATTAAATCAAAACTGACAACCGACGGAAACATTATGTCAAAGAGACTTGAGGAGCGCCTCGGTTTTTTCCTGTTTCTAAAGTTTCGAAACATTTTTTTAATTTTCTGAAGATATACGTATACTGTATATAAACGCAATGCACGCAATCATCGCAGACTTGTACTATAAAATGACACAAATACTCGACACTTAAAAAAAACATAGTTTGAACGTTGTCTTTAAGTATGAATAATTTACTAAACAATATTATCGTCTGTGTTTGTGTTCTCTGTGAGAGATGTGTATTTCATTGATAGGTTGAGTACTTCCAATCAGTTCTAAATCATGGTGCATGTCACTAGTATCATGATCCATTGAGTCTAAGTTTAAATTTGATGCCATCTCATCGGAATTTAAGTCACTGTCTTTGGCATTAACATAAGCATCGAATTCTTTTTGTTCTTCAGAACCCAATTCTTGTTTTATATACCTTTGTTTCATAAGTTCAATGTCTGCGATGCTTGAATCTGAAATAGACACATACGTTCCTTTGTAATAATCTTCATCTGTACCTGATAACTTTTGTGTTTGCCATTTGCTGTAATCCTCTTGGTCTTCTGATAACACTGTTTTTAGAATTTCAGGATCAATTCCAAGCTTCTTTATTTCATCAAGATTAAATTTAAAAGGCACATTATTTGACTCCTTGTGATCATGGCCATGTTCATGTCCAATTTCAGAGTCGCCATGCATCAGTATACCATGCAGTTTTTCAGAGTTAGGCCCGGATGGAGAAGCTGGGACATTCACTTTTTCTTCTAAATGATCGACATGGTTCCCATCATGCATGAGATTGTGCATTAGTGTGTTTTGGTCCATGGGACCTTTAGATTTTTGTGTTGTGTCCTCTGGTCGTGAGTGCACATGATGATTTTCAACATTTTCTCCTCCGTGCATTAAAACTCCATGCATTATTTGTTCGGCATCTGGTGGACCAGTGGGGTCTTTGTTATTGATTTCAACTGGTATCTTTTTGTGTACATATTCATGCGACTTTTCTGTGTCGCCATGCATTACATCATGCATAAGTTTATTAGTTTCTTTTGGTCCAAACGATTCCGGTGGTTTCTCTGGCTGCTTCGTTTTATCCTCGTTATGTTTATTAGGATGATCCTTGTCATCATGCATTAAAGCACCATGAAATGTTTCTTCAGCATCTTGTGGTCCTGACTGTTCTTTTGGACCTGTTTCTAAAACTGGCTTAAATTTAAGATAATTGTCTTCTGTTTTATGAGAATCACCAACTTCGTTGTCGCCATGCATAAGGACGCCATGGAGACAGTCCAATGGATCAGCGCATGGCTCCATATGTGGTCCTAGAAATTAAAGATAAGATAATGGAAATGAAGTGTTTATACCTTATCATATGTTTAGTATGATGACGTTGTAATGACCATTGGTCTTGGTTCATTTCATAATAAAAAATGTAAATCTATGTTGTTGTTTTTTAAACACAATAGCTTATACACACAAACAAGAGACAAACTATCCAAAAAATACTAATAAAATTCCAATTCAAAGAAAAAATATGCATTTCGTTTTGAAAATTGCAACGAATTGTTCAGCAATGAACGGAACCCGGCTATTACAGACTGTATTTACATATATAGACCCTTTTTGTCTTTTCCTATAAAATTTTATATCTAAAATACATATTTAAGCCAACGTAAATCCGCTGTATATGAGAACAAATATTATTTATCACAGAACGAAAGTCAATTAAGATTGGTTTGAGTGTTCCTGATGAAGGTAAATAAAAAAAAAGCGCTTCGGACGCACAAAATAAAAAAGTGTTATTTACAATTTGGAGTACCCTGTGATTATGAATTAGGGTTGTTGGTTTTTTTAAGTTACGAGTGAACCCAATACATATGAATAATCTACTACAAACACACATTTGCAGTCAATTTTGGCAACACTACGGTAAGAGTAATATTTAAGGTTAACATAGAACTTGAATATGAAATAATGAGGAATATATATTGTTTATTCACAAAAAGGTCGACAGTTTCCAATGCGGTAGGGTCAATTCCCCTGGTTTTATTTTACGATTGGGGCCATTTTCTAGAGACAGTATCATATATTCCTGTTAATAACTACTCGGCGTATTTCAAACGTGAAAAAATATAAATGCCTAATGATGACTCAAAGCTGCAATTTGAATATATTTTAGTAAAATTTTAGTAAGTATCCAAAATAAGAAGGAGATTCTTAACAGAAGCCACAATTCTATTAGAAGTATGTCTATATAACTTCTTTCAGATACAAATCAATGCATTTTGGTTAAATTTGTCAGAACTGTCTTTTGTTTACAACACATGTAAAATATAAATACATATACATGTAATAGTTGAATTTTTATTTTCAAAAAGTTTATGATATATGCTCTTTGATATCGGCTTCATGTAGATTTAAACGAGGAGGTTATATCCCATCCTCTGTTTTAACAATCGTCTGGTTTTTAAACTGTGAGCGAAACAAATATAATGTACATTTCATGTAGAAATGGTCATATCTCTTAAATCAGGGGTTCAAGAACTGCTCATTTCGAATCTTAACATCTTTAAAGGTAGTTATATAAATATGTATAAATCTCTCGTCCATGAAAAAGAGAATTATATTAGTTATGCAATCTGAGTAAAATACTGATCTCGTGTCCAAGCTTTGCTTACAAGGACAAAGCAAAGCTTGGACACAGGGTCTGATTTTAATCAGATTGACAAGTTATGTTAAAAATAAACATTAAACTATACTCAAAGTTCCTAGATATTTAACAAAATATATTCCAGAAAAATTGTGATTTTGAAACATACCTTTCTCAGTAGGTTTAGATAATACTTCATTTAGAATTATTCCTAACAAAACCGCAACGAAAGTTTTCATGTTTATTTCTGGTGAATCAAGTCGAAAACAAATTATTTATAATAACGATTTTAGTTTTAACCGAAATCAATTCATGATGCAAGTGTACACGCATTTTTCTCCAGCGTGGAAGTTTGTATGGACAAAGGGTCGATGGCGATCAAGCTGTTGCATTTTACGTCTTTGGATCATCTCCGATCAATTTTAATTTTCTATAGTTTACTGTCAATCATTTATGGATTGTAGGGGAATACCGATCATAATTACAAATATTCAAGTTGTTTTTTCAATTTTATCTTTTTGATATTTGATTTGATTTTTATGATTATATATTTTTAAGCGTCGTCATTTTTACATATGAATTACGATCCTACTTACAAGATCTATACGCTTATCACAAATGCGCAAAAAAGGAGACAGATAGTCTTATTTCTCCAAAGGAGAAGTTTGGATTACTTTTTTGTTTAGTTCCAAATGGGGAAAAAAAATTAAGAATCTTCAAATAAGTTTTACATATCTTAACTTTTGATTTGAAGTCGCGCAAGTTCAACATCAATCTTAATATCAGAATATTTTGTATATGTGTGAATTTCTCTGCGTGAACAAAAATACATAATGGATATATAAGCATGGCTATGTTTGACACGGGGTGGCGGTTTTGAAGCGGAGAAAAAGCAATCAAGGTGTGTAAAAGTATCACAATTTCTTTTTTACATCGCGATGACCTTGAGGTCAATCCGATGTATTGCTATCGCCTATATTTCCATTATGTAAATTAGTTTTGGGTTTGTAACCGATCTATAAACATGATAAATATGCGCACATAAACGAGTGCAAAATAACATTCCTTGTCATTTGATATAAATACATCTCTTCAATGAATACTGATAAAAATATTTTTGTTTACAACATAAATTAATAATGTGAAAATGTTTTGTAGTTAGATATATATATATAAGTAAAAAATCATTGATAATATCAATGCACACGTACCGAAAAATTGTGTTAAAGCATGCGGAAGAATATCTCAAAGAACGTTTTGCGACAGGACCGGTAACTCTGTAATTGTTTTTGCGGGAAAATATGAATGCCTACTCGTATCCAATCTTAGAAAAATCGAATTTTTACAGAAAAGTGTCCACCATGCACTTGCATTGCACTATTATTAGAACAGTAGAATAGAATAATATACAAACGGATGCAAATCATATATATATGTAACTGTTATTTTAATATAATATATAACAACAAATCAGTGTATACTGATTTGTATCACTACAATATAATATTTATTACGGTGAAGTTGAATTTCCTGTCATTTATTCATCATACTCGCACGCACTTGTCTAGAAAAAAATATATATCTGTACATTAACCTCAGTTTCAGGTAAAGAGATATGTTGTTTTTTTTCTGAGACAAGTGCTTTTGACCATCCTCAAGAACTTGTGGTCATCCGATGTTCAGTACTTCAGTACTTTGATTGAGAATTGTTAGCACCAAATAATGTATTGCACGGAAGGAACCGAACCATAATCTATTTCCAGCAAGCATAAGCAAATGTATCCAGTGCTCCGTTTTCTCAAACACCTCTCCATAGTTTTTGCGCAGATTTTGAGTCTTCATATGCAAGTTTCAGGATAAAAAACTACTTTTGGCGATTTTTTTCTCGTATGATTTATATAGAAATGAATTCCTATCATATGATTTATCCAAATGCCAGCTTCTTAGTCAAAATTTATTGGTTTTAAAGTTAATTTTTCATCGAAATGTAATGTGTCGCTCGGCGTGTCAGATTTTGTGTCTCAAGAGGGTGAGGCATTTATTAAAACAATGATAAATTTGCCTATAATTCGGTCCCTATCTGTTAGTTTGTAATTCAAACAAACCTACTCTGTTATGATGACTCATCACAAACTTAAGGTATTTTTTTTACCCATATTTGTTTTTTTTAAGTAATATGCATTTTTTTGTTAGAAATAAGGAAAAAGCCTCAAAGTATTTTGTTCTATACCTGAATATGATTTGTTTTCCTTTTCAGTTACTATCATGGTCAGGAAGAAGTCACGGAACTTAATTCATCAAAACATGGAGTAAAATCCCAGAGCAGACCTCTGTATAAGATTTGCCCGAAGACAAAACCACCTACACCTAAACTTAATCAAATTTCTTCCATGCAATACATTATTTGATGCATGTTAAGAACTCTCAAAAAAGAAAATTTGATACTTTTACATACCTTGATCGCTTTTTCTCCGCTTCAAAACCGCCAACCCGTGTCAAACATAGCCAACACGCCGCATGTGACGTTCCACACGGTGGTATTGGTATTTAGAAAATACATCATATTTGAAAATAAAAATGTCTAACTTGGAAGATTTCATGTGCTCTGTGTTTCCTGGTTTGTATTTGTGTCTCTGCTTCTAATTTTGATTGACTGTTACAATAAAGGGGCATTAGCTGTAAAATTCATGTTCACTGATTTGAATCAAATTATCATATTTAATTTATAACATACTTAAACGTATATCCAAATTATAAAAAGTCTAAAATTTACGATGCATGGACTCGATAATATATATCAGCATTTCGTGTGTATTTTAGTCTAGACGCCATCTAATTAACCTTCAAGGTGACCTCCGAAGACTGCTGGCGGTCATATAACCTGATATAAACATAAAAATAGATATAAATAGATAGTAAACACGTGCAATTGGATTTTTGGCAAGTGAATAATTCATCAGCGATGCTTCTTAGCTTATTTTGACAAAATTGAACCAAACTGGCTGCTAAAAGCGAATTATTATTTCAATATTTCACTTTCATTAATGATTGAAAAAAAAATCATATCTTAATTTTTAGCTCAACTTTCCAAAGGAAATGTGAGCTTTTGACATCACATGGCGTCCGTCGTCGTCCGTCCAGTGTGAACTATTTCAAACATCTTCTCCTCTGAAACTACTGAACCAATTCCAACCAAACTTAAGCTGAATGATCCTTAGGGTATCTAGAATAAAGTTTGTGTTTTATTTTCTGTTTCGTCAAAAAACATGGCTGTCATGGCTAAAAAAAAAACATATGGGGTAAAATGCAGTTTTTGGCTTATGTCTCAAAAACTAAAGCATTTAGATCAAATCTGACAAGGGTTAAAATATTTATTAGTTCAAGTTCTATCAGCCTTGAAATTTTCAGATGAATCTAACAACCCATTGTTGGGTTGCTGCCACTAAATTGGTAATTTTAAGGAAATTTTGCAGTTTTTGGTTATTATTTTGAATATTATTATAGATAAAGATAAACTGTAAACAGCAAAAATGTTCAGCAAAGTAAGATCTACAAATAAGTTTAATGACCAAAATTGTCAATTGAACCCTTAAGGAGTTATTGCCCTTTAAAGACAATTTTACACAATTTGTTTATCATGTTTTCTAACTTTAAAAAATCTTCTCCTCTGAAACAACTGAACCAAATCAAACCAAACTTAAGCTAAATGATTCTTAAGTTATCTAGAAAGTTTGTGTTTTATTTTCTGTTTCCTCAGAAAACATGGCCACCATGGCTAAAAATAGAACATAGGGTAAAATGCAGTTTTTTACTTATATCTCAAAAACTAAAGCATTTAGAGCAAATCAGACAAAAGTTTAAGAATTCATTAGGTCAAGGTCTACCTGCCCTGAAATTATCAGCCAAGTCTAGTATCTGATTTTTAGGTTATTGCCCCTGAATTGATGATTTTAAGGAAATTTTGCAGTTTTCGGTTATTATTTTGAATATTATTATAGATAAAGATAAACTGTAAACAGCAAAAATGTTCAGCAAAGTAAGATCTAAAAATAAGTTTTTATATGACCAAAATTGTCAATTGACCCCTTAAGGAGTTATTGCCCTTTAAAGATAATTTTTTACAATTTGTTCGTTTAGTTTGCTTACTTTAAAAAAATCTTCTCCTTTGAAACTGCTGAATCAATTTCAGCCAAACTTGGGCTGAATGAGTTTCAGAGTATCTAGTATAAATTTTGTATTTTATGTCCTTGTACGTCAAGAAACATAGCCACTATGGCTAAAATGGAAAATAGCGGTAAAATGCAGTTTTTTACTTATATCTCAAAAACTAAAGCATTTAGAGCAAATCAGACAAAAGTTTAAGAATTCATTAGGTCAAGGTCTACCTGCCCTAAAATTATCAGCCAAGTCTAGTATCTGATTTTTAGGTTATTGCCCCTGAATTGATGATTTTAAGGAAATTTTGCAGTTTTCGGTTATTATTTTGAATATTATTATAGATAAAGATAAACTGTAAACAGCAAAAATGTTCAGCAAAGTAAGATCTAAAAATAAGTTTTTATATGACCAAAATTGTCAATTGACCCCTTAAGGAGTTATTGCCCTTTAAAGATAATTTTTTACAATTTGTTCGTTTAGTTTGCTTACTTTAAAAAAATCTTCTCCTTTGAAACTGCTGAATCAATTTCAGCCAAACTTGGGCTGAATGAGTTTCAGAGTATCTAGTATAAATTTTGTATTTTATGTCCTTGTACGTCAAGAAACATAGCCACTATGGCTAAAATGGAAAATAGCGGTAAAATGCATGTTTTTGCTTTTGAAGAAAATATGACAGATACAAAGAACATTTAAATGGCATTTTTAAGCCACTCATTAATATATATTGAAAAGCAAAAATAATCATTGATGAAAGATTTAAGCAAAAAAATACAGGTGAGCGATTCAGGCACTTGAGAGCCTCTTGTTTTTATATCTCGTAACTAATTCCCCTTTAAAATTTGACCAATGAACCATGAAAATGAAGTCACGGTCAAACGAAACCTGCTACACAGGCATGTACACCTTACAATCATTCCATACACCAAATATAGCTGAACTATTGCTATTAGTATTTGAAAAACTGACCAAAACACCAAAAACTTAACGTTGACTAATGAACCATAAAAATAAGGTCAAGGTCAGATAATAATAATAATGATAATAATAATGACTTTATTTAAAAAGGGTGACTCAAAGTACCTAGATTTTCACATAGTTTTATTTCATTAGGTAGTTTATTCCAAAGTATTGAGGAGCTGTATGTGAATGTTTTTTTCGTCAAATTTTTATTAGGCCGCACTACAGCTAGATTATTATTTGCAGATCTTAAATTTCTGCTGTGTAGGTTTATAATTGGACAACATAGTTCTTTAAGGTAATTAGGTGCTTTATTATTGAGAATTTTATGAACAAGAATCAATTTATGATAAGAAATCCTAGATTTGAAATTTAACCATTTTAGCTCTTTAAATAGATATGGAACCAGCTAGACAGACATGTACACCTTACAATCATTCCATACAACAAGTATAGTTGACCTATTGCTTATAGAACTTGAAACACTGATCAAAGCACAAAGACTTAACATTGACCAATGAACAATGAAAATGAGGTCCAGGTCCGATGAAACCTGCCATATTGACATGTACCCTTACAATCATTCCATACACGACATAAGTTGACCTATTGCTTATACTGTCAATTCAGAAATTATTGCGAGGTTTTTATTATTGCAAATAAAGCGACTGGGTGATAATCGCAATAATAAAAACTCGCATTCTGATATCTGATACATAGGAGTGTACGCTGATTTTCCTGAAATCGCAATAATAAATCTCGCATTTTTGTCCTTTCTTTAAAAATCGCAATAATAAATGCACGCAATAATTTCTGAATTTACAGTAGTATCTGAGAAACGGACCTAATCACGTAACTTTAACCTTGATAACTGATCGATGAAAATGAGGTCAAGGTCAGATGAAATTGACCAAACTGACATGTACCCCTTACAATCATTCCATACACCACATATAGTTGACCTACAGCTAATAGTATCTGAGAAACGGACCTAATTAAGTAACTTTAATCTTAATCACTGATCCATGAAATGAGGTTGAGGTCAGGTGAACCCTGTTTGCAGGACATGTAAGACATCGCAAGTAACCTATATACCAAATATAGTTATCCTATCACTCATAAGAAGTAGTGAGAAATTCACATGACAAAACAAACATAATTTTTTTTTCAAGCAGTCACTGAACCATGAAAATGAGGTAAAGGACAATGGACATATGACAGACGGAAACTTCGAAGCGTAATAATCTGCAAACAAGGCATGAAGCATCCAGGTCTTCTACCTTATGCAATATAAAGCTTATACAAATAGTTTACATCAGGACACAGGATAGTAATCCCTGTCTCGCATACTGCGACTTTCGTCACAGGCAAGACAATAAAAAATAAATCCAGTACAATCCAGATTCATACTACCATAACTATAGTTTTAGTAATATCCTGGAACTATTAATAAAAATTTAGTGCATTTCCTAGTACAAATCTAGATATCCCAATTTCTACTAAATGTAGCAGATATTGGAATTCCAATTTGTACTGTAACATATACATTCAGTAGAAAAATATATTCTGGTTGGTTTGTTAATCTATTCATATTGCAACATTTAAAAATATTTTTTTCACAAAACTTCTATAGCCTACTTTTTCTGTGTTTGATATACATGTACTAAGTGGGAAATAATAACATTATATGTCGTAATAACTATGATTTGATTGTAATTTGTTTTAGCTATTGTCGAGCCTGCGACTTTTGTCGCAGAAAGCTCGACATAGGGATAGTGATCCGGAGGCGGCTGCGGCGGCAGCGTTAGCTAACTTCTTAAAAGCTTTATATTTTCCAAGGTGGAGGACCTGGATGCTTCATACTTTGTATATAGATGCCTTATGTTATGAAGTTTCCGTCTGTCATATGTCCATTGTCCTTGACCTCATTTTCATGGTTCAGTGACTACTTGAAAAACAAGAGGCTCTCAAGAGCCTGAATCGCTCACCTGTAATTTTTTGCTTAAATCTTTCATCAATGATTATTTTTGCTTTTCAATATATATTAAAGAGTGGCTTAAAAATGCCATTTAAATGTTCTTTGTATCTGTCATATTTTCTTCAAAAGCAAAAAAATGCATTTTATCCCTATGTTCCATTTTAGCCATAGTGGCTATGTTTCTTGACGTACAAGGAAATAAAATACAAAATTTATACTAGATACTCTGAAACTTTGGCTGAAAATGATTCAGCAGTTTCAAAGGAGAAGATTTTTTAAAGTAAGCAAACTAGATGAACAAATTAAAGGACAATAACTCCTTAAGGGGTCAATTGACAATTTTGGTTATATAAAAACTTACTTTTAGATCTTACTTTGCTGAACATTTTTGCTGTTTACAGTTTATCTTTGTCTATATTAATATCCAAGATAATAACCAAAAACTGCAAAATTTCCTTAAAATTACCAATTTAGTGGCAGCAACCCAACAATGGGTTGTTAGATTCATCTGAAAATTTCAGGGCTGATAGAACTTGATCTAATGAACATTTTTATCCAATGTCAGATTTGCTCAAATTGCTTTAGTTTTTGAGATATAAGCCAAAAACTATTTTACCCTTATGTTCTATTTTAAGCCATGGCAGCCATGTTTTTTGACGAAACAGAAAATAAAACATAAACTTTATTCTAAATACACTAAGGATCATTCAGCTTAAGTTTGGTTGGAATTGGTACAGTAGTTTCAGAGGAGAAGATGTTTGAAATAGTTTACACCGGACGGACGACGACGGACGCCATGTGATGGCGAAAGCTCACATTTCCTTTGGAAAGGCGAGATAAAAATGGAAGATTTTTTGTAATGTTAATTTCTCTCATTATGAGTAATAGGATAACTATATTTAATATGTGCGTACCTTGTAAGGTCCTCATGCCCATCAGACATTTTTCATCCGACCTCGACCTCATTTCATGAATCAGTGAACAAGGTTAAGTTTTCGTGGTCAAGTCCATATATCAGATACTATAAGCAATAGGTCTTCTATATTTGGTGTATGGAATGATTGTAAGGTGTACATGTCCAACTGGCAGGTGTCATCTGACCTTGACCTCATTTTCATGGTTTAGTGGTTAAAGTTAAGTTTTTTTGTTTTGGTCTTTTTTTCTAATACTATATGCAATAGGTCAACTATATTTGGTGTATGGAAATATTTTACAATGTACATGTCAGTCTAGCAGGTTTTATTTGACCTTGACCTCATTTTCACGGTTCATTGCTCAGGGTTTATTTTTTGTGTTTTGGTCTGTTTTTCTTAAACTATAACCAATAGGTCAACCATATTTGTTGTATGGAATGATTGTAAGGTGTATATGTCTGTCTAGCAGGTATCATCTGACCTAATTGTCAATGTTAAGTTTTCATGGTTAAGTTTGTTTCTTAGATACTATAAGCAATAGGTCAACTATATTTAATGCAAAGATTGATTGTAAGGTGTACATGTCTGTCTGGCATGGTTCATCTGACCTTGACCTTATTTGCATGGTTCATTGGTCAATGTTTAGTTTTCCTGTTTAAGTCTGTTTCTTAGAAACTATAGGCAATAGGTCAACTGTATTTGGTGTATTGAATGAAGGTGTACATGTATTTCCGGTTTGGTTTATCTGACCTTGACCTCATTTTCTTGAATCATGTTAAGTTTGTGATACTTTTAGTAAAGCTTAATATATTTAGGACTATCTACATAGAATCAATGGTCAGTAAAGAAGGCGAGACATTTCAGTGTGTGCACTCTTGTTACTATTTGACATAACATTTTCTTCTGAACTTGTAATAGCTTCCTTTTGATCATGCTATATAGTCCCACTGTAAACCTAAACGATAATTCAAAGAAAATGTGCATTGTTATTATTACTGAGATTCTTGTGTCAGAAAGTTAAGAACATATTTGTTTTTCCTATTGTTTGCAAGATTTTCAATCATCTGTTTAACTAATGAAGTGATATTCAACTTGACAATTAAGTCTAATTAAAATTTTGCAGTGAACTAACAATGATATGTAGTTAAACACAGAATCTGAAGACTTTGGCATTCTTGTAGCAAAATTAGAAAAAGCAATAGGATGGATTATTCAAGATATGGGTAACATGTATGAGATTTTCCGACTTAAATTCAACTAGTATTCCAAATATCATTGACTTTTATTAAGCAGCACAAGACAGAAATGAATTCACAGTGAAATTTTGACCACTGATGAACTAAAAACATGAGAAACAAGGTCACTTGTAAAGAAGTTGTAAGGAATGGCAAATATATATACAGCAAAGAATAAAAAAATTAAAGTAATCATCAGTAAATAATTTATTATAAATACGTTGTATTTACAATTCACTGTACAGTAATAATATAAATATTTAAACATTTCACATTAAATACACATAAAATATAGTAATTCATGCATAAATTAGTGAGAGTGGCAAAAAAAGCTAAGATATCTACAGACCTCAATCAAGTTTTATTTATTTGATTTAAGTAAATGATTTTAAAAGAATATAAAGTAGATCTAGCCTTTGATGTAAAAATAAATTTGCTGTCATAGATTTAACTGTAAGAACAAATTCTTCTGTATAGTTTCTATCTAACTGCACTTATTATTTTGCTTGAACTTGTGAAAATCATAAGCCAAAACCTCAAAAACAAAATCTAAATATGTAGAATCTTTGTGACTGCATATAAGTTTTCCAGAAAGTCAGTATCTGGCCATTTGGCCACATTAATCATAAATTTCATAGTTATTATTAATTTTATGGCTCAGATGAAAAACTTGACATATACTCCAATAGAATTTAAGTAGTGGTTCTTCATTCTCAATGTTTGAACAAATCAGATTTCTTGTAAAGAATTTACAGTTAAGACATTGCGTTTCACAAGTTTTCAAATAATTTCAAAGAAGGGATGATAAAATGTGATAAATTCCAAAGAAAAATAAACGTCCTGATAGTTTAATATATTATGATTTGTCCATTCTTGATAGCTTTGCAGTTCACAAGATTTTTTTTAAACAATAATGAAGAACCTGTATTAAATCATATCTGTAGTTTGCACTTGAAATAACCAAGTTGAATTTCTACTTAAATTTATAAAGACTACTTAATTCAATGTCTAATCTTTTATCATTCAATTAACATTCATAGATCATTAAGTTTTGAAACAAGCAAAAAAATGTTTTAAAAATCTCTTTTAAAAATACATTTCTGGACGATTTCTATATATAAGGCAAAACAGTTAACTGCATAAAACATGTTGTAAAACATGGCTGGACTTATATTATCACAGATATTACAGGCAATCTCTTTTATTTACAAACATACAATAAAAACAATTGTTAAATATCAAATACGTATATTTAAGTAAGTCTTTGCTGCCACTAGGTATATTATGATAAATCTAAACATATCCTAGGCTAATATTTTACAACCTTACCTAAAATAGCACATGCTACACAGTAATTATAATGTAGCACATATAAATCAAATTGCAATGATATTGGACGGTTTCCTTACATCTGAAACATTTTCTATTATATAAAAGTATTTACCTCCTAAATTGAGTTAAATGTCTCAGAGTCTACTGCTTTCTCGAAAAAACAGAGTTAGCAATTTCTTTTTGAAACATTATTTCATTGTGACATTTGAAAATAATGAATGAGTTACCACTATGTACAAATGAACAAATAAGACTGGAGTGCAGAGTGACAGGATTTCTAGATATTTTTCTTTTCAACTAGGATACATTTTTGTGTTGAGAACCTTTCTTCTGGCTCAAAAAGTGTGTAAATGAAATAATAATATAAAAAGTATCATCAGAGTGTCAAATTATTAGCATTGTGCAAAACTAAAAGATTTTTTTGTTTTAATAGCATAAACCCTTTTTTGTATCTGAGATGTAGAAGATGCAATTATAACGTATTTATACCTGCAACCTGTCAATATGGCTTGACTTATTCACATCAAATTATTGTTTGATGCTTATGTGAATAAAAATAATTAAGTCAAGTTACTGAAAATGATTTACATTGTTTAATTTATTTCGTGGAAAGAAAAATAAATTGGAATTGTTTAGAAATTAGTTTTGTTGCAATGAGTTTGTTTGCTAAAAATAAATAACAAAAATTCACAGAACTTTAAAATAAATTTCAGAAATGAACGGTGAGCTGGTGCCCAAGTCTGAGAGGAAATTCAACTGGATATCATGTAAATTATATATAATGGAAATAACAAAACTGGAAAAACAGTGTTATTATAATTATCTTTATTTTAAAATAATGTGTCTAAATATGACAATATAACTAAATATAAACAATAAACCAAGTTAACCAGAATATTACTTCTTTATCCTTATTCTTAACAGCAACACATGAATACTACCTCATTCTAAAAATTAACTCATTTGGGGAAATATTCAGAATTGATTTTGCTCACAAGAATAAAAAGCACAAAACTGTAATGGAAGCCTATCACTGTATAACAAAGGAATCTGAATTTACAATTGAAAAAAATCTGCTAAAAACAGAATCGTATCATCTCTAAATATTACAATAAAATTCTAAAGTTTACAACTAATATCACATATAATGAGTGTAAAATCAACAAAAAACCAAATGTATAATTTATGTATAGTAAATCCAATTATTGATAAGTTTAAAAAATATCATCAGGTGAAAATCTTGAGTTTGATATGCTACATAAAAATGCTTGTAACTTTTGGACGGAACATCAACAAAGTGATTTAAAAAGTTATATCAAATAGTACTTCTTTATATATCAATGCTGGGAACATTTTATGAAATAGACATCTAATTCAAAGTAATATCTTACTTGTGTTAACTCATTTTATTTACAATATTCTTGAATAAATTTACAAAGGCTTGTCAAGTTATTTTGATATGATTTCTTCAAAATAAATGCATACTACATTATCACAAAATATATCTCATAACTTCTTTATTTCGGTTCTACTTCTTTCAGCGTTATCAGAGCTCTAAAAAATCATCCAAAAATAAATGCCTCTATACTTCAAATTAGACCTTAAGAAAACTTCCATACTAAAACTTGTTATAAAATTTCAGTTTGCAAGACATTAAGCATTTTTTCTTTCTAAATTGAAAAATAAATATAATTCTGCATTTTGATATCAACTATATATTTTCTATATCCCTCATGAGTTCTTCATCGGAGCTGACGTCTGTTACACTCACAAATGATGTTCTTTCTTTACTTCCTGCAGCTGGTACAGTACTACCACCTGTAAGGATAAACAAGTTTCAAAATTTGAAAAAGAAGATTATTTACATCCTTTGAAGTTAAATATGGCAGTGAATTTTTTTAACACCGAAAACCTAAATTTTACATATATAACTCTTTACACAGAGATATGTCTTGCCTTCTTTGCAGTAAAATCAAAAGCAGTATTGATATTTTTTTTTTCTTTCAACAGCATTTGTACTGGTTGGCAAGAAGTGGATTATCTAAAATTGTGAAAAGTCAGAACCAATTAAAGGACTAGTTCCCCACATTTGATGGAACACACAAAATGTGAATGTACATTGAAAATGATCACAAATGATATTTGATGGTGGCACAGACAGTTAGCCAGTGGCATAATCAGATATTATTTTAAACGTTTACAAACACAAGAGAGTTGAAAAACAGAAGCATAGTAATGACGATAGCTCATCTTGGCAATAGAGAGACAGATGAACTAATAACATCTTGAGAGATGAAAAGAAAGCATTTTTATCATAAATCAGGCTTTTGGTTTTCTCATTTGAATTTTTCGACATTAATGGCTGTTCGATTGCCTGGGACAAGTAAAAGTCATCGTCAGGCAAGTAAAAGCTGCAGTGTACTTGTCAGATTGGTGAGTAAAAATTAAAAGTTAAAAATGGTGAAAAATACTGAATCTTGAGTCTTGAATGATATAAATCATCTTATCAACCAGCCCCGACAATATCGACAAATTTACATATTTTTAGTATTTTTCCATTCTAACTATAGACATTTGAAAACTATTGGCCAATGGAAGTATGATCCTGATGTTGATGCCCAACAGATAAGACCTATCTATGTAAGGAATAATAATATATATATATTTGAAATCTACTAAATACCATAGAGTTTTAAAACCTTAAACAAAAGTAAAGTAAAAGATGATTTGACAATGTATATATATATATATATATATATATATATAAGTGCCTATAAATAGCAGCACATGACATACAAATCTATGGGAGTGTGGATTAATCAGTACAGAGATTAATTCAATTACACAAATAAAATTATAGATTGCCTAACAATGTAATTTTAACACACTATTTAGTATGTAAATATAAGAATGTTTAAAATATTTACAAAATGATGAAAATAAACGCAATATTTCGCTAGACTAACTAGCTTTATCAAGCGTGTATCTATCCAGGTGAAATCGGATGTAGATGATAAGAAACTTTTGCAGCTCAATGTATATGTTGCACTTGAATTTAGCTGCCTTGAAAATAATACATAATTTGGATGAAGTTCAAGATTTTTACAAAATTGGTAGTTGAAGTTAGCAACGTCCATTGGCCAATATTACAGGATAAAAAGGACGATGCTGTGTACTAAATTATTCTTTATCTTTCCTGTATCTTTTCTCATCTTTTTCGTTAAGACCATCAGGTTCTAAAGTGTGGAGTTGGTGGATCCAAAAATTTTCTCTTCTCCTTCTCGCCGTGGTGTCCCACTCGGTGTTGACTTCTATAATTTGGAAGGTAACATTATCAAAAGAATGTTTCGTTGAACGAAGATGTCTTGTGAGAGGACAGTTTTTGTTGGTTTTGTACCATGAACGATGGTTATTGAGCCGAATATTAAATTTGTCCATTGTTTCTCCCACATACTGAATGCCACATGTGTCACATGTTAATATATAAATTGAGTTCTCCGTTTTACAGTTGGAATTTGAGTAGATGGTATAATTTTGTTTAGTAACGGAGCTGATGAAAGAACTGCTTGTATTGGCAGCTTTACAACACAAGCAGTTCCTTCGACCACATTGTTTGTAGCAACCGGGAGATGGAGTAGGCTGCTTTGCTAATACAGATGTCACTAATTTGTCACGGATGTTTTTAGGTCTTCTGAAGGCCATGACTGGTGGTGAGGAAAATACTTTTTTAAGATTTGAATCATTTTCTATAATTTTCCAATGCTTCTGAACAATGGAAGACACATTTTTAAAATCAGGATGGTAAGTGAGTACAAGGGGTGTTCTGTTAGCTGCTTTATTCTTATCTTTGTACTCTAGAAGTTCTTGGCGACTAGTTTTGTTTGCTCTTTCGAAAGCGCTATCAATGATGTTGTTATTGTATCCTTGAACAACTAGATGTTTACGTAGTTGTCCAAGTCTAGCATTTTGCGTATTTTCAGTAGAGCATATTCTCTTGATTCGCAATGCCTGGCTGAATGGGATGCCACGGGAGCAGTGTTTAGGATGGCAACTTTTAGGAGAAAGGAATTGATGTTTGTCCGTTTGTTTGGTATGAAGGTCCGTTATAATGGTTCCGTTCTTGATGTAACTCGTAGTGTCGAGGAAGTTTATTTTCTCCATAGATGATTCATATGTAAATTTTATTGAATGGTGGAAAGAGTTACAGTGTCCTAGAAATTCATTAAGATGTTCTTGTGAATCTGTCCATTTGAAATCAATATCGTCAATGAATCGGAACCATGATAAGGGCTGGTATGGAGCACTAGCCAAGAGGCGTTTTTCAAGTTGGCCCATAAATATGTTGGCATATGACGGGGCCATTTTTGTGCCCATACTAGTACCGTCTATCTGGAGATAATGTTTTTCATTGAAAGAGAAGTTGTTGTTCTCTAGCACTAGTTTCAGAAGTGTAACAAGGCACTCAGTTGGAGGATTTTTTTCACTACGAGTGTTCCATACCTCTTCACACGCTGCTATTCCTTCGTCTTGTGGAATGTTGGTATATAAAGAAGACACGTCCATGGATGCAAGTATAGTATTGCTTGGTAGAGGATTGAGGCTTTCCATTTTCTTTAGATAATCAGTCGTATCTTGGATGTAAGAGGGTAGTTCTTTCACATGAGGTCTTAGATGATGGTCTAAAAATTCTGATATCTTTTCAGTTGGATGACTATTTGCTGAAACAATTGGTCGACCTGGATTGCCCGTTTTATGTATTTTAGGCAACATATAGAATCTTCCGGACTTTGCTTCGTTCTCAAGAGGTCGGAGATAATCAAAGGTGTCATTGTCTATATGCTTTTTGTCGAACATCTCTTGAAGGATGGTGTTGATCCTTCGAATATTATTTAGTGTTGGATCTGTGGTTAATTGTTTATAGAAAATGGAGTTTGAAAGTTGGCGATTTCCCTCTGCTATGTAATCTGTTTTATTCATGACAACCACAGCGCCCCCTTTGTCGGCAGGTTTTATTACGATATCCTCTTGATCTTTTAACGCTTTCAAAGCAATGCTTTCTGACTTGGATAAATTATAATTTCTTGTATTTGTTATACAGGACTTTATATCAGACCTCACGTAGTTAATGAATGACTCCAAGTTATCATTTTTACTCTTAGGTGGTTTCCATGAACTTTTTTTCTTAAATTTTGGGATGGGCGTGACTTCTTCATTGGTGTCAGTATCTGAATATGTTAATCCAGCTTCTTCAAGGTTTTTCTTGCCCCTATTGTAGAAAAAATCTTTCAAGCGTAAACGTCTAGCGAATTGGTCTAAGTCCTCGTCTAGCTGAAAGTTATTTACATTTGATGGGATAAAAAAATGTGTCTTCCATTGTTCAGAAGCATTGGAAAGATTTTTTCTACAATAGGGGCAAGAAAAACCTTGAAGAAGCTGGATTAACAGATTCAGATACTGACACCAATGAAGAAGTCACGCCCATCCCAAAATTTAAGAAAAAAAGTTCATGGAAACCACCTAAGAGTAAAAATGATAACTTGGAGTCATTCATTAACTACATGAGGTCTGATATAAAGTCCTGTATAACAAATACAAGAAATTATAATTTATCCAAGTCAGAAAGCATTGCTTTGAAAGCGTTAAAAGATCAAGAGGATATCGTAATAAAACCTGCCAACAAAGGGGGCGCTGTGGTTGTCATGAATAAAACAGATTACATAGCAGAGGGAAATCGCCAACTTTCAAACTCCATTTTTTATAAACAATTAACCACAGATCCAACACTAAATAATATTCGAAGGATCAACACCATCCTTCAAGAGATGTTCGACAAAAAGCATATAGACAATGACACCTTTGATTATCTCCGACCTCTTGAGAACGAAGCAAAGTCCGGAAGATTCTATATGTTGCCTAAAATACATAAAACGGGCAATCCAGGTCGACCAATTGTTTCAGCAAATAGTCATCCAACTGAAAAGATATCAGAATTTTTAGACCATCATCTAAGACCTCATGTGAAAGAACTACCCTCTTACATCCAAGATACGACTGATTATCTAAAGAAAATGAAAAGCCTCAATCCTCTACCAAGCAATACTATACTTGCATCCATGGACGTGTCTTCTTTATATACCAACATTCCACAAGACGAAGGAATAGCAGCGTGTGAAGAGGTATGGAACACTCGTAGTGAAAAAAATCCTCCAACTGAGTGCCTTGTTACACTTCTGAAACTAGTGCTAGAGAACAACAACTTCTCTTTCAATGAAAAACATTATCTCCAGATAGACGGTACTAGTATGGGCACAAAAATGGCCCCGTCATATGCCAACATATTTATGGGCCAACTTGAAAAACGCCTCTTGGCTAGTGCTCCATACCAGCCCTTATCATGGTTCCGATTCATTGACGATATTGATTTCAAATGGACAGATTCACAAGAACATCTTAATGAATTTCTAGGACACTGTAACTCTTTCCACCATTCAATAAAATTTACATATGAATCATCTATGGAGAAAATAAACTTCCTCGACACTACGAGTTACATCAAGAACGGAACCATTATAACGGACCTTCATACCAAACAAACGGACAAACATCAATTCCTTTCTCCTAAAAGTTGCCATCCTAAACACTGCTCCCGTGGCATCCCATTCAGCCAGGCATTGCGAATCAAGAGAATATGCTCTACTGAAAATACGCAAAATGCTAGACTTGGACAACTACGTAAACATCTAGTTGTTCGAGGATACAATAACAACATCATTGATAGCGCTTTCGAAAGAGCAAACAAAACTAGTCGCCAAGAACTT